TATGCTGGGATATAAAGAGTTAGTTACTGTCTCATACCCTCCTAGTCCCCAAGTTCTTGATCTTAATGTCAAATTTTTACTAACGTGGAAGCCAGAACAAAAATATCAAGCTTTGAAGCATGATAGTACTATGAAAATGTATTTGCCAATAAAATGATTTCATATAATTTTTACAGCATTACATCTCCCTTGCTCCACATTCCCTCCTGCCCCCCCACCTTTTTGCTTTCTGAATATGGTGAAATAAACTGGTGGTATACTTTTTTTTTTTTCTTTCTTTTTGAGATGGAGTTTTGCTCTGTTGCCCAGGCAGGAGTGCAGTGGCATGATCCTGGCTCACTGCAGCCTCCACCTCGCCAGGTTCAAGTGATTCTCCTGCCTCAGCCTCCCAAGTAACTGGGACTACAGGCATGTGCTACAACACTTGGCTAATTTTTGTATTTTTGGTAGAGATGGGGTTTCACCATGTTGGCCAGGCTGGTCTCGAACTCCTGACCTTAACTGATCCACCCACATCAGCCTCCCAAGTGCTTGGATTATGGGCGTGAGCCACCGTGCCTGGCCTGGTGGTACACGTTGAAAGAAGGAAAAGCAAGTGCTGAAAATCTATATTTATTTATTTATTATTATTATTATTTTTTTTTGAGATGGAGTCTTGCTCTGTTGCCCAGGCTGGAGTGCAGTGGCACAATCTCGGCTCACTGCAACCTGTGCCTCCCAGGCTCAAGCAATTCTCTTGTCTCAGCCTCCTGAGTAGCTGGGACCACAGGTACCTGCCACCACGACCGGCTAATTTTTGTATTTTTACTAGAGATGGGGTTTCAACTTGTTGGTCAGGCTGGTCTCGAACTCCTGACCTCAGGTGATCCACCCGCCTCGGCCTCCCAAAGTGTTGGGATTACAGGCGTGAGCCATTGTGCCCAGCCTGAAGATCTATATTTCTGAAAAATGTCTTGGGTTAGATAACATTGACTGGGGCCTGGAGAATTTCCATCATTACAAGTCAAGGTTTGCTTTTACTTTTCCTGTGAACAGAACCAGGAAGGAGAACATTGAAAGTGCCATGTCCTATGCCCACAACACTGTGGTTCTTCATCCTTTCTTCCTGGGATACATTTGGGTTATAGGAAAGGTGTATAGTGTGATGTCATGTTTGGAGAAAAAGCAGGTGATCCTGACTTCTCTTGAAGTAACATCCACTGGTGACTGCAAAGGAGTTTTCAGAATTTACATTTACTAACCTACAGAATATACAGGGCTTTATATCCTATAGGTTAAAATTACATGAGGAAAGACTGTATAGAACATGTGTGTAACCAATGTTTCCAATATTTTGAGCTGCCCTGAAAGAAAGAGATAACAATAACCCAAACTGCTACAGCATTACTATATGCTTGGCAATATTTTAAGAACTTTACATGTATTAGTGCATTTAATTTTCACAACAACCCTCTGAGTTATGGTCAATGAGTCCCATCTTATGAGGAAACTGAAGTACAGAGAGATGATAGAAGTTGCCCCACATTATGTTATTGGTAAGGGGTGGACAAGGATCTGCACATTGGTGGTCTGTTCTGAAGTCTGCTCTATCCTGCTTACTGCCAGGGTAACATAACCATAAAAAGGGGGTAAGCAATGTACTTACGTTTTTCAAAATAAGTGTAGAGAGCAAGGCCTAAGAAAATAGGAACTTAGAATCTTACTCTTTTATGTAGTATCAGAAAAGCTGGTTACAATAATTTTACCCATTAAAAATATGTGAAGGCTTGTTTCAGAAACTAATTTTCTGGGCTCAAATCTTATTCCAGAAGATCAATGTCTGCATGGTACATTGTATATAATTTAATTTTCCCAGTTGAACATCGTGACACTATATGAACCATGAATGCACGAAATAGGAATTCCAAATATCTTCCATATGGTAAGAGGACTTTTGGATACTTCTGCAGGAAGCTTAAGGGTAGCTCGAAATTAAGTTATGCCTGTTCTTAGTGACTTTCATTATGTATGCCTAAGGTATTAGCACTTTTCTCTGAGTGGGACCCTGAGGTGATAGATAGATGAGTCTGCTGTCTGTATTTAGGCACTTTGCTCATTTCCTGAGAGCTGTGGAAGGCATGTGGATGCTCATTAAGTTTCCCACCATTCCCCGAGAGCAACAGGTGGTGAATCAAAGCTTCCCTGGTATGTCATGGCTGGTTTCCTCAAAGTCTTGGAAATAACGGATGGCATTCACATGCTCTCTGCAGCACCAACAGATAAGAAGGAGATGAATAGCAACAGGAAGTATTTCCAAAGCATAAACAAACACACAGGTCTAGGAAGATTATGAGTAAAGTGCTTGCTACCACACATTCTATATCCATACATGGTGGTTTCATCTTTTAAATCCTGTTACTCGTTCAAACTATGAAATCATAGTTAACTGTCCTGTGGTAGCTACCTAATAGAAGAAATGTAAATTAAAGGAAAAAAGAACATTTTAAGTTAAGAAAACTATGTCATAAAATTATAAGCCTTTAACTCTACATTTATAAATATCCAATGACCAATAGTTGTGATGTATCTTTAAATTGTCTCCTTTTCAAAATTACTAATTTATAGTGAGCACTGACTACATTATAAGGAAAGCGTATCTCCCACATCCTGATTAGAGAAGACAAAGCTTATTAACCAAAAACAGAGCCTAAGATTTAAATCAAATACCAGATAGTTACCCAACAGTACTTGGTAATTATGTAGACGAGTATCTCTAGTGATTGATGAAAAGAGTTTTTGTCAATTAATAGCTTCTTTTCACTATAGTCAGCAGTCAATGAGAGAAAAACAAAAGAAAATATCAGAGCTACCTGACCTCGACAAACTCCATCTGGCCATTTCCTATGACCCGAGGAATAAAAGCGTTTGCTAGAGGTGGCAAATCGTTTAACACCCCTCTCAACATCAAAAAGCTCAAAACATTCTGACTAGTCCACAGATGACTAGGCAAATTCCGAGGATCCAGTGGGATATTTTTGTGATGGAGGATATAAGACTAAAGTAAGATGATAAATAGTATAATCAAAATTGCTTTTTTTTTTTTCCTTCGGAGGGAAATAATCAATTTCACATTCTCAAGTACTCTCTCTCTCCAAGAAAGTGCTTCAAGCTCAGGAGAAGGGACAACTGGATTTCAAAGTACAGAGGTTCCTGTGAGAGAAGCTGATAACCCTACAAGCACTTGCTGCAGGAAACTGCTTCAGCCCTTCCTAATGCCCCTCCTTTTAAATGCCTTCCCCTTTATTTATAATGCTACCAGGTTATTTTTGATTAATGCTGAGTATCACTTTCTTATCACTTTAAACAAATAGTTTTAAAATTTTTATGACTTTCCCATTATTTGTAAAAAGCCATCTTTGTGTATTTGTGTGTGTGTGTGTGTGTATGTTACTAAGGAATGCCATAATTTAACTCTATAATATGAAACCACCTATTAATTTGTGAAGTTATTTTTGCTAAATATCAAATGATAAGGAAGTGACTTCAACTCTTTAGTAAACTGCTGTCATAGAGTGTTACTTTTTCACCAAAGAATCCAAAGACTAAAAATCTATTAAAAGGACATATCTGAACTTTCATGATACTAATCTAGAAACATCAAACAAAAAGATAGAACTAAAATTGCTGAATGCCAACCAAGAAGTCATAGCTTTCATGTCTATCAATTATACCAAATATACTCATAAAATATTATATATATCATATGACCTCTGGGAACTCAATAATATATCTATCCTAAAATCATATTATTTCACATAACTCACACTCAAAGCAGAACCTTCATAAAACAGTATACACAACTCTCACACTAGAAGTAGGCATGCTAACTTTATTTTCCTTTTTTAGAGATGGAATCCCACTCTGTTGCCCAGGCTGGAGTGCAGTGCGTGATCTCAGCTCACTGCAAGCTGCACCTCCTGGGTTCAAGAGATCCTCCTGCCTCAGCCTCCCGAGTAGCTAAGATCACACCTGGCTAATTTTTTTTGTATTTTTCAGAAAGACAGCATTTTACCATGTCGGCCAGGCGGATTTCAAACTCCCGACCCAAGTAATCCGCCCGCCTCGGCCTCCCAAAGTGTTGGGATTACATGAGCCACCATGCCTAGTCTAGGAATACTAACTTTAGAATGGACTAATGTACAACAGAGATTGATTCAAAACTTTGTAAGATGAGAACAACAAAAGGAAAATGTATTTGCATTATGTTAACCCCTATTAAGTAGTTCTAGAATATATCTTAAAAGTTTTAAAATAAGAAGCTGATTTTAAAGGAGCAACTATATCTGAGGCAGTAGAACTTTAAGCCTTGTCAGTTACCATGTAAACAATTTCAAACACTTTTTAAAAATGCTTTTAACATTTTTAAGTGGTTTACACCCATTTAAAACAAATGTTTTCAAACTAAACTTTAAACAATTATTTCAAAAGATATTTAGAAAGTCTATGGGGACAGTGTATGTGTTGGGTCAAAATATTTTAGTAATATGATTTGTACTTTGCACTGATAATTATTGAGAGGAAGTAGAAGATAAATGTTTTAAAGGGATTATTATAATGAGTGAATCACAAAAACAGCTGCCTAAATGTTAGATTTATGGGGATGTTAAGACTCTAATTCTGATCAAAATCTGATAGAGTCTTAAGAATAAAATTAAAATGTGAAGGTAAAGAGACATTTTAGACTTTAAAGAATTCCTGTGACTTCAAATGAAGTGACATTTACATTTATTTAAGGGGCAATAGTAAGTTAAATGGAGAAATAAACAATCCATTTCGCCACGGCAAACTTGAGGTATCTGTGCTTAATTTTTAATTTAAAAATTTAGTTAGTTGAGATGGCTGGAGAGTACTTAGAGAACAGCATTTTATTTTTATTTTTCATTTTTCCCTATTTTTTTCCAATTTGGGTGAATCTCATAATTACAGTTCTGTGAAGCCAAGACTGTCCGTGCAGTATTTACCTTTATCCCCGGAAGTCCAGGAAGCCCAGGAAGCCCTGGTTCACCCTACATAGGAAAATCATATAGCATTATAGAATGATCTTCACTCAGTCACAATATCTGGAGAACAACATGGCAAATGTTCCTAGCTCAACACTTTCTGCAAAGATAAATTAAAAAACCGTCTACTTTCAAAAAGTTTTGTGAGATTATACAATTCAGTCAACTCTTGATTTAGAAATGGGTTGACCACTTCACAATTTTTTTGGGATTTTCTCTCTTCCTTTCAGTTCACTGCACATTGGTATCACTGTCAGATGGCGAGAAAGAGGAGTCAAAAGAGAAGAAACTCCCATATTTCATTATTTCTTCATTAAATGATTTGTTGGGGAGGCTCAATCTATTTGCCCAAATGAAGATAATGTGTGCATTTCAACAATGCATCCTATCGCAGTATTCCCTCACCTTAGATAATCAAGAGTTGGCTGTATGAACAGATGGTCACATCAAAACAATATTCATTAAAAGTCTTGCTCACTTAAAAAGTATAGTAAGCTTTCCTTTTCATTCCTGAATGATGAGAAGAAAAATGAATACTTAAGATTAAACCTAACTCCAGTCTGTATTTCTGACAATTGTTGAGTCTGAGCAACCCTGCTTAGCAGCTTAGGGCTAATGGTACTATGCAGCTGTTGCTGAATACAGGTTTGAGATTAAGTAGTACATTTTGGGTGAGCATGTTGGAGTCAAGCTTAACCTTCTCATTTTCACAGAGTTGTCTACATTATTTTAAGCCCAAAGAATGATAACAAGAGGTTCCATTGCTTAAAAAATCTCCTGAATTCTACCAAAGAAGTATAAAGGAATCTCAGGAGAAAATGAAAGTCCTCTCTGTTGGATTGAAGTGACTATTTTTTTGTGGAAATAACATTTGAAGGCAAAAGGGTGATACTATTTCATGATGGCCAGTTAGTGGGATGACAACTAAAAGACAGAGGAGCATTAAACTAACAGTTAAGTGACAAAATAAAGCATTTCCTTTCATCTAAATGCTTTAACAATCCGCATTTCAAAGTACATCCACTAAGTCCAACCAGAAAGTATTATTACTTTCAAATTATGAAACAGCATAGTTTGTTCTAGTATTATCACAAAGTGATGTCTGAGACTGCTTGTTAAGCTGTGTGATTAGACCAAAAAAGGACAATGGTTTTCTTGATGATTTAGGTCAAAGTTACTTCAGGAATGCAAAAGAAAAATGATTCTGTCTGAAACGATATAAATGAAGGTTTGCATTATGAACAATAAGACTAAAATGAGATTAAGCCAGAGGAGAAAGGCTGATTATTAAGAACTTGTTATTCCATTCAAAGAATGTCCAAGTAGTTAAATTTCACACAGATATAACATTATATATTTGATCTTCTTTTACTTTCTCTTTTACCTTTCCATCAATGAGTTTAAGAGGATCCAGTGAAAAGAGTTTGTATATATTTTTTGCTGAAAATTCTTTTATATTAAAAAAGTATAAGGCCCTTGAAAACAGTAAATTGCAATAGAATATACAACTAATAGAAGTAAACATATTGATGGCAAATCTATAGCTTTGTATGGTTTCAGAAAAGTCCCGCAAAACTCATTTTTGAAGACATTCCATCTGAAACATTTGTGGAAATATGTAGGTTGTAACATTATTGTCCAACAGGTGTTCTCGTCATATCTTTCCCTCCCACCAAATGAAAGGATTGAATGACTACTTTAAAGAAAGATACTTATTTAAACATGCATGCATACATAGACACCCACCCATATATTTAATCAAGAAAAAGATGTGTAAGACATTACGGAATATTTTATAATGTAGATTGACTACTTACAGAGATTGAGCATTTAACTTTTCTCCACATCATATGTGTACTATGTATGTGTATTAAGTAATAAATATATTTTTTAGTGAACAGATACTTTAGAAATTCTTATTTCTCATAGTTTTCATATTTCATAATTTGATCTTTCCAAGTTTATGTTTATTAGTTGATATGATGAAAGATTATAATACATGTAATGTTACCCTTTGTGGAACACCGCCTAACATTTTTAGGAAGACATTTTTTTCCTATATAAATCCTCTGTCTTTATACCATAAAAGGTTATCTTCTAACTAGGATAAGTGTGTCCAACCCACAGCCCACAGGCCACATGCAGCCCAGGATGGCTTTGAATGTGGCCCAACACAAATTCATAAACTTTCTTAAAGCGTTATGAGATTTTTTGTGATTTTTTTTTTTTTTTTAGTTCATCAGCTGTTGTTAGTGTTAATATATTTTATGTGTGGCCCTAGACAGTTCTTCTTCCAATGTGACCCAGGGAAGACAAAAGATTGGACACTCCTGAACTAGGCAATAGCTTTTCAGTTAACTTCTCCATTTTTGCCTATTCCTTGGCTCAGGGGCTTCTCTCAAGAACTCAATTTGGGGATGCACAGCCCAAAATTTGGGATCAGATCTTGGTCATAATTAGGATTTGGTTCATTATCCCATTCAAAGGGGATATCAAAATAAATCAAAAGTGTAACATATCTGTGTAAAGCTTAACCTTCAGGTTTAGACTTTTGCTTTTTTCCCCTTCCTTTCACCTTTCACTCTCTATTACAGGAGAACCTCAAAATCAGGACTCAGCCTTCACCTCATGTCCCTGCTAGAGTGCTCTATATATTTCTAGAGAGTTTAACTGTGAGGGGCCCTTCTGATAGGAGATCAAGTAATTTTACTCCTTTAAAATTAAAATATTTATTTTAAAAAGATGTGGGAAAATTAGGAAGGAAAGAATTAGGTGATGAAACACAATACTTATTTTATAAATCTACACACTCACTCTACAAGCACATATATACACTCCAACTCACACATCAATCACATAGTAAACTCTTGAGGCTATAAAAGAAAGAAAATCCAATGAATTATTCCTACATTATGAATATAACTCTAGATCTCAAACTCTCATGCTGAAAAAGACCACACAGTGGAAAGCTAACTGATGAGTTTTTTGCTGTGTCACAATATTCTGTACTTTTCTGGGGTGTCTCTGACACAGGAGCCTAAGTGCCAATGAACCCCCAGCATTGTTCTGCAATGGAGAGGAAAATGCCGTGGAAGATCTCTTGAAGCAATTCGGTACTCAGTTCAGTTTATTTCTCTAATCTACATCAGCAGCAAGCATGGACATACTTTACTTTTAAATCAACGTTGGGCTAAGTATTGCCAAATCCCGATATTAGACAAAGGAAGTTATAATATTGTGGGAAAGTGGGATTGTATCAAAGGGTAGAATCTGGCCTAAATATTAATGAAAAAGACGATGCTCACTTTAGGGCACATATTCATTCAGGAGAACTGTAAGCTTTTAAGGATTCTGCCCCTTCTCTCAATATAGTTTAAAACTGGTTTTTAATGCAATGCAAAGGAAATCCAGTGTTCCCATGTGTAAATCTATAAACTTCCAGAATGAATCCAAACTGTATTTCTAAGTAATCATTATGATAAGGCAACATTTTATTAAGTAATTGAAAATCTATTTGAATATTCCACTCTGAAAACAGTGAAAACTATACAAGATTATAGCAGGTTTGTTTTGGTTTATTTTTTAGAGACACAACTGTCTTACAGACTTTTTAGCAAATCACGGATTTGGAGAGCAGTAAAAACTTAGACTTTAAATTTGAAAGACTAAAGGACCTAAAATTAGATTGTCTGAGAAGATCAGTTGCTTTTTCAAACCAAAGCAGACCATGGATCTCTGCATCGCTAATTCCAAATTTCTCAAATAAAGAACTGATAGGAAATCTTAGAAAATAAATAGTAAAATTTGCAGAGTTCTGCTAGGCTCTTTGAAAGAGTCTCAACTTTACTTAAAATTGGGCCTAATGAGTCATTGCTTAGACTCTTAGTTTTAAGAGAAAAATCTGTTTTTAAATTAGAGAAATGTTAAAAGAGTGTGAAAGACCTCCTCAAAAATTATGTTCATCCTAAGTGTTTAAAACGAAGTAACTATCCTCTCAATGACTTCAAGAAGGTGGAAATATTATTTTACTATATCTTAAGGTTCTAAAATACAAGAAGGGATTTATTCTCTCTTCCCTTTTCTGCTAATGAGGCAAATTTTATTTTTCTATTCATATGTTTATCTACAACATCAGCTACTGCTAGACAAAAGCAGAGTCATGATCTTTAAGAGATTTACCCTAATATAGAATCCACATTTACTTGCTAGCTACATCTGTGGTCTAAAATCTGACTGTATAGGCATCGATATCCAAATGCTCAGATAATAAACTGCTAGCATGTGTTTCCTGTTTCAGACTCAAATGAGAGTATGAATCTAAACAGATTCACTGCATGCCCTCTAATTTATTGCTAAAATGACGTACAAATGCAAAAACCAAAAACTAATGTATCTATAAAATGGTATGACTAGTGCCTCTAATTAAAATTTAGTTCATTAACAAATTTAGTGTGTATAACAACACTCATGGCACAAGTAGATAAAAGTCACATAAAAAATTATCAGTATGGAAGCGTTTGCAATGATAGGAAAAGGAATATAATTCATAAAGAATTGTTCATCATTATTGAGACAGTTTAATGACAGTTAGATAGAAACATCAAAGCAACACAGTCAGTTATAGACTTTTTTCCATTAAAAAGTTATTTTAAAAAAGATAGAAACATGCAGATTACCATTAGACATGCAAGATAAATTGTTGGCATTCCAACCCACCAGATCTTTGTTAGTTTCAAACAGCTAAGTATATGTAGACTTTATTTCATAAAGCATCCTTTTACATGTATAAAGTTTGTTTGCACATTGTGCTATGGTCATCATCAATAATTTTTAAAATGCAAAATAACCAATAACACTCTGTAATGCAAAACATGAAAACCACATCATTTTGTAATAATTGTTTTCATATTACACAGTGGATGGTAGATATAAAATGGTGAATATGAGACAGTAAGAACACACTAGAGATAGAGATATTACCTTTTGCCCTGGACGACCAGATTCTCCAGGTTCTCCCTGGCCAAAGAAAACCGAAGATGAAAAAGATGGTCTTACAAGAATTTTCTAAAACCTTTAGGCCTCTGGGCACCGTCACAGGGATGGCCTAGTCCCCTTCTGCAACCACATGTCTTTTATTTCCTTTATCCTGCGACTCTACATCTCATTAGACATACTGATTTAATTTTTTCTTTTTTTTTTGCTGTAAATATACCTATAGATCACATATAAATCACATTTCCATAAAAACCAATCAGAAAGGGAAGAGAATGCAAGACTTCTTATTTAAACCTCCATCAAATTTCCCACGGATATTCCCTATTGCTTTTGGAAGTCCAATTATTGCAGGAGAATAGGAACAGAGAGATAACCACCTAAGTTGCTAAAAAGGGAGAGAAAGTAGAGGCCTATAAAAATCAGAACTGTAAATCCTGGAGTACAACAAACACTTGCAAGGTTATAGTTACCTTAATTCCCGCAGCAGATGATCCAGGGTCACCCTAAAATGAAACCCAGGAGAGATTATGCCACAAGTTATGGGAATAGGAAACATCACAAGCACCCAGAGAGCCATTACCAACACAGGTACTCAAAGGGTACCTCATGACTAGTGGGCCTAAGTATGCTCCATAAGACTTCGTATCAATATCTCAGCTGTTAAGATGTCAACATTTCCAAGATAAACAATGCACTTCCTAAAAACATGAGTTTACTTCGCATGCAGATACATAAGGACTACATTCTGTGAAATAAACATAAATATGAATTTCTTCCCTGGATACAGTGCTAAAACTACATTGTGAAGCAATAAATTACAATTTAGGGATATGGAACTTTTGGCTTTCTCTATTCCTGGAATTTATTAATGCCATCAGCTATCATTTACTGGGAGTTCTCTAACCCTTTTGCTCTTCAGCAAGTCAAGGTTCAACAGATGAAGTCAGAGGTTAATGATGTCGAGTTAGAAAAAGCCACGCAGCAGATCAGTTTGTTTTCCTCATGAAGCACTGTCACAGTTACAACGGGCACGTTTTTTCCAGCTTTACACTTATTTCATTGTAACTCAGGCACCAGGAAGTTACAGGATGATGGATGACTTGTGGGTGAGGGGGACACATGTGAGCTCTGAGAGAAAGTCTTGAGACAGAATCTGTTTTTTAAAAGGCACTGTATTCCAGCCAGATTTCGGGGAGTGTGAATGCTTCCCTAAAGCAAACGTGTTATAAATAAGCAGATAGGAACTAATGGGGAAAATAATATGGAGGGTAGCTGCGAATGTTGCTTATTTCTGAAATGAGGTCAGCAAAGGGCCTAGAATTTTAAGTTCCTTCTAGCCCTCTCTGTCTCATGAATACGCTAGAAGGAAAAAGAAAAGGTCATTTGAGACTGTCAAGAAAATAGAAACAGCCACAGGAGGGAGGCACATATTGGGATTTCCTCAGCTGTCTCATCTGTACAAATGCTCAAGGAGCTCCAGGGGCCCATTTCCTTGTTCTAGATTCCAGAAGCTCCTCATCAATCTCTTTTAGAGACAGACATAAGGCCTCAGGCCTCTGTACACGAGCCACTTGCCCAGCTCCCTCAATTTCTCTCCCCTCTGTCCATGGCTGGCACTTTCTCTCTGCAATTCTTGGCCTAACTGGCTTTGTCTCAAAGACCCCTTCACCAACCAGCCTAGACACATCAGACGCATGCCCCTCATGCACACATCTTACTCCATAGCATCGTGGTCTGTTCATGTCCACTGCAGCTTACTTTCTAATTGACTATTTATGTTTCCTGCCAATTCATTGTCTATCTCTCTGTCAGACAGTTAGTTGAATGTGAGCAGATTTTGGATCTATTTTTATTCAGTGCCCTGGCCCATAGTATATGCTCAATACATATATGGTGAATGAATGAACAAATCTCAAAAAGAATTTTTAAACAGGTTAGTTGTCAGGGATCAAAAAGTAAAATTCTCTAGGAAGGGAAAAAAAAGCTTAGGAAAGAGAAGGAAATAGCAAATTAGCTTGTTAAGTAAACAGATAGTTATGTGAGTTTCTTTGACATCTATAATTGCTATCCCTCCTGTTGAAAATTAAAATGTAACTAAACATAAAGAAGAAGAGGACCCTAATACCGTCTTACTGTAGAATGAGACTAATTTCTCTTGCCAATCATTAATATCCAATTGAGTTCCAAATGGGAAGCAACATAAATATATCCAACAAAAAGAATACTTATTTCTACTAAATTAAATCTGAAAGCCATCAGTATCAGCGAAAGCCATCAATGAATCAGGTTTGCAATATTTTATACAATAATATCTTTGAATTCATAAAAGCAATTTTGACTCTACAAAGTTCCTACTTTGTCTCATTTAAACCTCACAAAACTCTCATGAAATAAAGGGGGCAGATATTATTATTTCCATTTAATAAACAAGGATATCAAAGCAGCTAGCTAAATGAATTTGGGGCTTCCTAAATTCTACTGCCATTTTTTTTTTTGTATAGAAAAGAATTGTTGGCTTATTTCATTTTGACAACAGGACATAAAGGCTGTAGTAAACTTGTAAATACAAGGAAGCTGCTTGTATTAATTGTAGTTTAATTCAATATCTTAATGAAAAGCATCCAGATAATCCCTAATGTGAGTAAAGACTAGATTTAGTTCTCATAAAAAGTGGATGGAAGGAAAAAGACAGTTTCTTGAAAGGGCAATATATTTGTGGAAATCTGAGCAGTTCCGTTTGATGGACAACTAAGAGTGATTTTTTTTTTCTTTTTTAAAGACTTAGAACTGTGAAATCTCAAGGAATTTTTACAACTTTTAAGTGGTAACATGACTGCTGGAAGACATTTATAAGTTAAGCATTTTAAAGGATAATGCTGCAAGTAGTGGAAATAAAATAGTGTGTGTTTATAATCCTCCTTCCCCACAAAGTGAAAATGAATACTGGATTAAAGTAGGGGGAAAAACCCCAACTATGTCTTAAGTACACTCTTAGCTTCGTAAGTCAGTTGGCTTGGAAATAAACATTTCTACAGGGTAAGTTATAGATGAGGAAATACTATGAGAAGATATTTTAGATAAATGAATTTGACTTTACTATGTTTCATTCAAGCATAGTTTCCATTTTTGTTTGTGATTATTTTCAAAACAACACTCAGTAGATAATTATATGTGTGTGTTAATAAGGCACATGTGGATATATGAAGTGAATGTAGTGACTTATTTTTATCATTCGTTAATTCATTCAACAAATACTTATTAAGCACTAATTGTGTGCCAGACATATCTATTAATAGATGCTGAGAGCTGGGAGATAACAGTAAGCAATGCAGTTACAATCCCTGTCCTTGTCCTGCATTACAATGATCATTCTCTAATATATGTAGTGCAAAAATATTGTTGATGGAAAGCATGAATGATAATTTATTTTTTTCTTTCTTTCCTTTTTTTTTTTTTTTTGAAATCTGATGTAGGAAGAGACTGTCATGTTTGGAAAATTCCGTGTCACTATGCATGCACAGAAGACGCGATAAGCAAATGCATGGCTATCAAAGGAATTATAAGGAGTGCTGTGGAGCATATAGTAGGTGACCTACCTAGTCCAGAGGAGACTGAAGGCTGCTCCAGGGAAATGACTTATAAATTAAGTTTACAGTGGACTGAAGAATGAGTAAGATTAGAAAGTAGAGAAGTGATGATGAGGAGTCAGGGGAGGAGGACAGACAGCAACAGTATTCTAAATTATGGAAATGATGTGTGCTAATTAGGGAAGGCCCGGCACTGATTGGTGCAGGAGTGCCCACTGGGATAGGCCTTCAGGTGTGATTTTATGAAAAGAAGACAGTTTGGTTGGCTCTAAATATGATGTGGCTTCTGAAAAGGCTCAGAGGATGCAAGTCAAAGATGCATTTTCATACTTCATACTTCATACATGCATCTTTGCTATGTAGATGTGAAGTATGAAGATGAAGACAAGTGTGAATACACATAGGAATGGAAATGGGGGAGAGGGGAGCAGAGAAAAAAAAAACAGGCAATGCTAAGAAAGCAAAGGCAGAGCTTTTGAATCAACAGACAGAATTGTGAAGAGTAGAGTGATATGGCCAAACCATTTAGTGTGCAGCACAAACACCCCATTTTGCACAGGGGAAAATAGATAAGAAATCAATTTCTACATTTGTTGGTGGGGTTAACACTCTAAAGAGTGGGACATAATCCTTCGACAGTAACTCTACACATGGCTGAACTCCGTCTTTGGCAGGTTTATGCTCTTAAACCTAGGGTGTACCATGATTGTTGGTCAGAGTGTGCTGAAGTTGCTGGCCACAAAGAAAACCCAGTCTAGTGGTTTTTATAGTTCCACAGTATTTCCAGATGATCAGTCTGGAAAGGTTTAGATTACTTTACCATCCAAAGGCGCTGAGTTGAATCAAAAGGAAAAAAAAAATCCTATTAAAGTCAATCAATGACGTAATTTACTACATCAATGGCAGAAAAGAAGGATTTTAAAAAATTTTTACATCTCAAACTTGGTAAACGATGAATGAGTTTCACATACTGTACACAAAGGCCATGAGAAGAGTGTTTCCAACATGCTGGAAACAAATTATGTGACAAAAGGAGGAAATGTTTAAAAAACACATCAAAAATTATATTGCAATTACAGCATTCTTGGGATAAATGCTACAGGTCGGATTACATATTATACACATTACAGATTCCTATTTACAATCCCCTGTTTAGACCCATTGAAGGTTTATAGAAATGATTTCCGTTTTAACTGAAGCATTTCTTATACTTAATTTCAGCTGACTAATAAAAGTTTTTGATAAAAAAAGAAAAACAATCTAGTTGATTTCAATTTCCATGTGGGAAGAAAAGCTAATATTTATTGAGAGTTTATTATGTGTGAGTCAGTATGGGAAATGATTTGCATTAATATATAAAATAAGAACGGTATTCCTTTGAGATGACCTTGGTCTTTTCAAAGAAAAAAGCTGTTTTACCATTGTAAAATTAAATTGCAAAAAATTTAATTTTACAATATGATTAAAGAAACAATTTTTGTCCTACATTCCAAAAATGAAACTTTAAAAAGACATCGTTTAAGCATAAAATTCTCTACATAATCCACATAGGCATAGTTCAGATGTAGTATAAATTTTTTTCACTTGAAAAAAATTGCCCTCTGTGTAGAATATTTCCTTTCTTTTAAGTGGAGCTTGGTAACTATGGCCAAATTCAGTTGGCCACCTGCAAGACCCAGGAGCTAAAAGTGGTTTTTAAGAATCAAAATAACAATAATATTTCATGACACATGAAAATTACATGAAATTAAAATTTCAGTGTCCAGAAATAAAGTTTTATTGGAACACAGCCTACTCACTTGTTTATGTATTGTCTATGGTTGCTTTCATGCCATAACAACAGAGTTGAGTAGCTGTGACAGAGACCACATGGCCCACAAAATCTAAAATATTTATGTTCTGGCACTTTACTGACTTCTGCTTTTAAGCAAAAACAAGCAAGTTAGATGTAACGCCACGTTTATATATTTAGGGTTTCAAATTTTGACTTTGAGAGTAATCAGGGTATATCATTGGTCTCATTTGTATTAAACAGATTCATGCCATATTTGATTGCAGCACGATACTTAAAGTTGGCAGATAAATAAAATGGGCCTATAGCAGTGATACTCAACTGTGGGTGGGTGGCTTTGTCCCCCAGGTAACATTTGACAATGCCTGGAGACATGTTTGATTGTCACAACTCAGAGGTGCTATAGGCATCTTGTGGGTAGAGGCCAAAAATGATGCTAAACATCTGAGGGCCCCATAACAGAGAATTATCTGGCCCCAAATGTCAATAGTGCTGAGGTTGAGAAACACAGATCTATAAGAAACTGAGAGCCCACTCCAATTTCTAGACTCCTTGAATATAAATACAATTGCTACTTGGTGACATTAATTCATTCCTACCACACATGCCATATTTATATTAATATTTATGAGAAGAAAAAAGATAAATTTCTTTTTATTTTGTGGCTATGTTTTTATGACTAACCATTATCCATCTGTACTGTAATAATTTTCAAAGTGGAATAATTTCCAAAGTCTCAACTGTAAGGTTAAATAAATACATTTTCATCACTCAATTACTTAGCCTGATTTAAATTAAAACCCATCTGACTTTATTCTATTTTCAATTTCTTAAAAGATCTTCTTAATCCTGAAAACATAGCACAAGTGAAGTATAACAACCTTCCTATGTCAGAGTATCTATAAAGTATGAATCCAAGCAAAAGCTGTAATGATAGACTGAGGAAAAATAAGAAGAGAGGAGGCAGAAGACAAGCCCCAAAGCTACTGCAGTATAAATGCTAGTAATGGTTTAAAAGACCCTTTGCCCAGGACAGAATACGAAGCCTGACAAAATATCCAGATTTAGTGGAATTTGAATTGAGGTAAATTTTCAAGACTGCATTAGAGGGTCTAATCAAGTGACATTAACTTATAATCAAACTTTTCTTTTCCTGTTCTTTTAAAAATTATTATTTCAATGGGTTTTGGGGGGAACAGGGGGTGTCTGGTTACATGGATAAGTTCTTCAGTGGCGAGTTCCGAGATTTTGGTGCACCCATCACCCAAGCAGTGTACACAATACCCAATGTGTAGTCTTTTATTCTCAGCCCCCTCCCACACTTTCCCCAAGGCCCCAAAATCCATTATATCATTCTTATGCCTTACAATCAAACTTTTAAATCTCATTCCAATCCTCTGACATGTTCTCTCCTGAAACTGGTACAAACTGCATCACTTTAGGTCTCTATTTTCATATCCCTGAGTATAAGGGAGCATCCCATTTACACATGAATAAGTGTTTTAATTCCTTGAAAGCCATATTGCTGAAAACTTAGCTACACATTTTCTATAATTTTTGATATATCATTTTGCTTTGAAAATGTTTTAATTTGTGGATAGGAGCTTGTGGAGTAATCACCTTTTATAAATCAAATACTTAAATGTTTTCTAATCTTGGAGAATGATCTCTGACCTTTTCATATTTAGCAACTCTCACTCATCTCTCTAAAAATCTCCCATCTTCGTATAACTTGAAATAAAATTTCTTGCTGATATATGTACCCTTTCATATCTTACAAAACTGTACCTTTTCGCCTGTGTCACCTTTGGGGCCGTTCTCTCCAGCGTCTCCCTGAGGAGGGGAAACAAGTGACACATGTAAAATACATTGGTGACATTAAGCAAAGAGTATTTTTCATTATTTTAAGCTTTCTTTCATGAACACTAGATATTAAAATCTGTTGCAGATGCTCTATAGAGCTAACGTATTTATACTTGACCAGTTGTCTGATATCAATAAAAGAAATTTTACTACAACGAACATGGCTGAACAGTTTTAAACTATTCCACAGTATTAACAGAAGACACTTGCTTATCTATCTTCCAATGCCTTATTTGGGCACCTAAAGCCTCCTTAATTCTGTCTCTCCTCAAAGTTCCACTCAAACAAAGGTTTTCTTCTGACAGTTCCCTGAATATGCCATGGGCCTTACCACCTCTGAGTCCTTCTTCATACTATTTCTGTCACCTGGATCCCTTGCCTCTCTTTCCCTTTCCATCTGTATAAATCCTGCCCTGTCTTCAAGCATATCTCAAATCTCCAGGGCCTCAAAGTACATGACAGGGCCCTCAAAATCTGTGGACTGAATATTTATTTATCTGGGCCTCCATGGTTTGCATTTGTGAAATGAATGTTTTATGCTTGACTAGAAAAATTTAAAAAAATCATAGTTTATGCTTTTTTGTTGTTATTTTTGAGACTTCCTATGCCTGTTCCTTCACTGACATCTCTTTTTTGCCTACAGAGAAATGCATTAGGGAAATAAAGCATTCGTTTATTATCCATGCTTTCTTCCTTCAATTCTGAATTCTTCAATATAAGTCTTACAATATGTTATGTGGAAATGTTATGGACTTTGGAGCCAGGGAGACAGCCCAGTTCCAGCACCTACTGGGCAAATGAGATTCTCGTTGCATCAGGTTTCTCCTGTGCAATGTAAGGGAAAGGATAATTTACACAGTTATAAGAAATAAGTGCTACACTGTGTGGAAAGCAACTAGGACAGTATCTGGCACATCATAAGCTATTAATGATACCAATGCATTACTATTCACATATTCCATAGGCTGGAATGCAGTCACTTTTCTATTACTTAAAAAGTTTCTCAAAATAGGACAGAAACTATTGATCATAACTTTCTTGGGAGAGGGGAGAAAGGAAGTTGGGAAGGGAGATTTTCACTTTTTCTCTGTATTTTGCTTTATTCTTTCAAATAAGCATAAAGTCAGTCTGCCTGGGCATTTGTTTATGGTGACGAATACACTGCGGCAGGCCACGAGAGCCTGGGACACTTTCTCTAATGAATGCCTGGTATGGTGCTGATACTGCTCTTTTTCCCTCCTAAATTCTATACAAAAGAGTCACCCAGTGACTAATTAATTTCAAATTAATTACCATGAACTGATTGGATGCTAAATAAATGCCCTAGTAATGTGTTATGAGGGACCTTTGATAGGCAGTTGATTTGCATGCTTTTTATAAAATTGCACAAAAATCCCTCTATTAAAAAACAAAACAAACAAACAAACCTTCTTAGTAGGGAAACTGGCTCAGAGTAATTGCAAAGCGAAGGGTTTAACTGAACTGCCCCCTCAGGAAACTGCCCTTTCCACCCACATATTTTGCTACCCCTCCACTAATGTTTTTGTTTTCTTTACAATGTTGAAAAATACAGTTGTAATCAAGAATTTTTCTTGATCTTTAGATAAACTTCTTTTGAGATTAGAGGTGATAAAACTCATTTGTCAGAAAGACCATATCACTTACGAAGAGCATGATGCAGTAACTTGGTAGTTTCCTACTCAGCATATTTTTCAAACACTATTAAAATAAGTAGCATGAGAACCAGGAAAATAAGTGTCATAACATGCAATCAGAGCCTAAAAATAATCAGGACAGGCCCAAGTAAGGAAAAGAGTCTAGGATAATTTAACACTCTGCTTTTCCTATTTCTCTTTTTGGTTTTTATGGGAATTCTTTGTGGGCAACCTTCAGATAATTGCTGCAGGTAAACATCTGTATCCCTTTAACCTAGTGACATCAGAAGCAGTAGAGAGAGATGCGGGTGCTTGGAAAAGTATTAGAACGGCATTAGCAAGTAGGCAGACCAGATTTTGCAGGCCTAAGGATTTTTGAAACCCATCTAAAAGCCTGATACAGAATGTTTAAATTTGCTCCCTTTCTCTTCATTTTTAAATATTTGTTCTGAAGGTACATCGGCACCTTTCTCTTTATTTTTTAAAAGTTTTTTTTAACCCAAATTTTTGTCTATACATAAGAATCACACTATTTCCTCCTTCCACTAATTAACAGTTTGAAAAAACACAGGGGTCATTGTATCTGTATCTATATATCTATATCTATCTACCTACCTACCTACCTATTAATCTACCCACCCATCCATCCATTCACGCATACAGTTTAGTTTGGGTACTTCTTTGGTATGCTGCTGGTGGGGAGTAGGGAGAGAGGAATACAGACAGAATCATTCTTACCTTTTCACCTTGTTCTCCAGGTTCTCCCTGAGCAAAAGGACAGAGATTGGGTGACATCACATCATAAAACATCTAATTTTATGATCCTTATTAAACAAAACAGATATTGAACTTACTAGGTAAGTTATGCATGACACTTTCTATTTTGGCTACATGTAGTTGCTATATGAAAACAAATGATAAAATGAGTTTCCTGGAGAATGTGAGCATGAATATCAATTATCAAAAGTAATCTTAATTTTTTGCTCTTATAGCACTAAGAAATGTATTTGAAGATTATCATCCAGAAACTGGCTTTTGGAGCACTAAGGAGAATGATGGTATGGCAATTCAATATCTTGAGAGGCTTCTTAGCGTACAATTTTCATTCTGCTTAAACTCAGAGTTAGTAAGGTGGACTAGCATGTTTTTCTGAAAATCCTTTTATTCAAAGCATTTCCTGGTTTGTAGATCATTTCAAGGTTCTAGGGTGCCAGGGTAGTTACCTAATCTGTCTTGCCCTAACATGATCATAAACAGTCCTAATATTGAACCCCTTACAATATCATAAACTCTCTTTAGCTTCTGGTAACCAGCATGTTCCAGATCAGGTATATTTTAGGAGGCACCTTCAGGAAAGACACTAGAATGGGGCAGAATTGAAGTGAGTTTAGGAATGATGTCCTTACTCAAAATGATGACCTGGATGGCATGAGGACTAAAATGCAAAATGGTGCCCTGAAGAGAATCTCATTTTCACTTTACCCAGCAAAGAACAGAGGTTGGAGCAGCAGAGTAGGAGTCCTAAAGTAAATCATATACATTATGATGTAGTTTCCTATGAAAAGCCTGAGTGAATGTTGCCATAAGATCAGACTGCTTTGGAAAAAAGATGAAATGAAGCAATTATCTTTTTTTTTTTTTTTAATTTATAACCCACTGCAGAAGTCAGTTTGGAAGCAAGACTCTTTTCTCTGGAACTCAATCTGACCCTTTGACTTTCTGCATTTCTGGTCACCTTCACTGCTCAACACCCATCCTGCTGGTCGCTAGGCAACACCGGAATAGCACTGTGAACATACATTAAGCATTAACTCCTATTGTCTGACGTTTTAGCATGGAGAAAGAGAGAGAAGAAGACAGGAAAACAGCTAGAGTCCCAAAAGGAATATTTTCTTTCCTCTCCTGCAGGACAAAGGACAGGTCTATAAATTTAAGGTCTGTCCTAGGTGCCTGTCAATAGCAAATGATCTGTAAAATCAGCTGACAGGCATCTGTGGGTAGGAATACATACCAGCACAGCTGATGGGATTAGACATTAGTTTTGTACTTCAAGGGATGTTCGCTCATCAAAGGATTTGGGATTTGGCTGCCTGCTTGATTTAAACTAAATTGTCACCAATCTTTTTATATTTAACTGATGCAATTTTTTTTAAGAAACAAAGAAAACTTGGAATAAAAAATCTTCATTACATTTTTCCCCTATTTAGTAATTCAGACTACATCCATTTTAAAATTTTAAACATCTTTAATCTGCCTTCATCTGATTAACTGGTTATGTTGTGTAAGAGTTGGAGGTGGCCAAATCTTGGGGAAAAGCCATAGTGAATGTCATCTTTAGTAAAGCATATGTAAATATCAAAATTTTAGGCAATATTGACATGACCTATGTTTTTATGTACCCATTAAGTGGTAAAATGACAACAGTCAGATTTGAAACATAGGCCTACTCATGTTATTTAAGTATCTCAGAATAAAGATGTTAGACAATCACATCCCATTTATTTTTCTGCATTTAATACTAACGAGAATCACAAATGTAATTAATTCATTACTAACAAAGTTCTATACTGTAGCATAGTATACTATTCACAAAATACTCATTTAAGTACAACCGGTGAGATTGTTAAAAATTGTATTAAATAATAGCTTATAATTTCCTGACAATTCATGTGTCAAATGATTCTGCTTGACTTTATTTGTACTAACCTTTGGTCCTGGTATTCCATTCTGTCCTACTGCTCCAGGCAACCCGGGCTCACCCTCAAAATAGAAAAATAGATACTACTAAGTAAAATAGACAAAATCAATACATTACATGGATCATTAGAGGAGACAGCCATCTAATAATTCTCTAGAAATAGATAAAGAATAAGTGACTATTAGTTTAAATTCAAGTTAGCTTCCATGGTCCAAAATGCTGCACGTAATGGAGCAAGGATACAATGAGATTAATTTCCTTTGTTCAGTCTTATCATCATTAAGAAAACTGAGGCAACTTACCAGCGGAAATTAATATCTAGCATGTTGCTGGGTACATTGTGAACATCAAATAAATATTTTCTGAATGAGTAAAAGACATCTGAAAATACAAGACTCTCTTGGCAAAAAACTTTTAAGTGATTCATCAGCTCAGAAAAAGAAAGAATAAATCATTCTGTTTTCACATTAGACTTAAATGAACATTTACAAACCTAAATCTTGAAGAACATACACATCTTTGAACACCTACTTAATTCATTTAGACACATTGACACGAAAGTAAACACTAAAAATAGCTTTGGTTTTTCTTTCCAATTTTATTATAAAAAGAAGAAGAAGAAAACATTCAGACTTATGGATCTCATTGTCATATCAAGCGATACGCTTTTGGACAAAAGATGATGGCTATTAGGCTAGAAAAAATTTCCTATTTCAGAAAGATGATGATGTTTACCAGTCTTTCAAGACTCTGAACCAGCAATTGTTTTCCAAAGAGGCAAAGCTCCCTGAAGTGCCCAGAAACAAGGAAAAGATACTTTGGCCCTTTATGCTTCCATGTGGCTCAAACTTACAGCAATTAGAACTCTGTTCTCATTTTAAAACATTCTGAAAGCCCTTCACTGTGTGCCCCAATTACTGGACAACCTTCTTCTTTCCATTGAGGCCAGTAAAGTTGCTCCTTAGTTGATTTTTTAAAAATAGACTTTATTGTTAGAGCAGTTTTAGGTTCACTGCAAACTTAATTGATTTTTGAGAATGTTTTCTAAGTCACCTGGAGGGCAGGAATTCTGTCACTTTTACATTTGTGTTCTCAGCTTCAAATACATGTATGTTAATAATAACAGTAACATTTCTTAAGTGCCAGGATCTTTATAGTCATTGACTCAATTCTCACAAATTTCCATGAGGTAGGTACCATTTTTATCTCTATTTTACAGGCAAAGAAACTAAGGCACAGAAAAGTAATTTGTCCAGATTTACATAACTATAGTCAGGACTTGAACTTTCATGGCTTAAGAAGTTATGCTCTGGTTTAAGAAGTTATGCTCTTAACACCATGTTACACTGATTAGTGAATGAATATATCTAGGAATTGGGAGAGAGTAGATGATGAGTATTTCTATCTTAATTATTATTTGGTTTATAGTCCCGCTTATAAATGACTGTCAGAATATATAGAAACCAGAATTAAATATAACCTACATAGAGATGATTTTTTAATATCTACCAGATAAAATAAGCAATGTGAAGCTTGTGGTGTCTTTCTAGAATAGCGAAAAGTATTTTACTATTATAGTGGATTATTAAAATTGCTAAAGTCTTAACCTCCTGGAAAAAAATTCTGCTTCCTATACAAAGTCACACTGTAATTGTAACTCTTGCACTTTCCTTGGTAAAATGGGAAAAAATGTTGACTTAGAATAATGATGGTCATTACGGGGAAATTTTGATATGCCATTTGTACATAACAAAGGATAAGAACTTGGAAACAGAATACATCCTGAAAAAGGAGTATCATTTACTGTGCAACCAGAAAAAGACCAATGGAGTCTGCTTGCTTCAAAGAATCCACAACAGGAAGCACTAATATCATAACTCATGGTTTAATGCAAATAAGAGATGCCGCCAGGAAACAATGCAAACTTTGTTTAGACTTTCAAAGAATAACCATTGTAGCAGAGTTATTTTTTTAAAAACTGGTTAAGCCTCTGGAACAGGACAAAAATTCATGCTGAGATTTTGAAGCAAGGAAGAGAAATGTTGCTGAGGTATCGGCATAACAGTGTCCTTAATATATGAACATTGAGGGACTAAAGCTTGATCTCCTTTTTTTCTTTGATTTTTTATGTTGTTAATCTTTAACATAAAAGGCAGCAAAAAATGGTACCTGTAATCCCATCGGTCTATAATAATTGTTTTCATTTTGTCCCGTCTCCTTCTGGTCTTTGTTATTTATGGTTACATATTTTCAAGCAATTGTAAACATATTGCATAGCTTGATGTTCTGATTTTTTAAACCTTTATACGCACATTTGTTTTCACACAGTATTTGTGAACACTGTCTTGTGAATAGTTTAATCATCTATCAAAGTCAGGTGTGATCATTTGTTTAATCAGTCCCACATTGTTGAATACTCGTGTTCTTCCAATTTTTACTATTAAATATAAACTAAAATAAACACCTTTGTAAATATACTCATATTTTTCTGTCAAATAATTTAATTATGATAAATAATCTAAATTTGTTTTATTAGTCAATGGAAACATTTTATGGCACTAACTGCATATTTCTAAATTGCTTTCTAAAAGAGTTCTGAGTTTTATTTGCTTTTATAGGCACTTTAAAAAGTTTTTCATAGGCATTGCTTTTACAGGCATCCACTCTGTGTTACTTTTTCAAAACGTTTTACAAGAATGGTTTTTCACAACAGCATTGAATATCACAATTTTAATTATTTTTGTGGCCATTTTAATATGCACAAATGAGAGCTTACTGTTGTTCAGTTTTAAATTTTTTACTTGTAAGCTTAAATATTTTCTGATGGGTTCATAATTTAAGTAGGTATTCACAAAATTTTACAGCTGAAAAGTGAATAAAGCTAGAGGAAAAAATGACTGATAGCATTTTACCTTTATAATGGTTACATCAAGCAACACATACTCCAAGTTAGATTAAGGGACTACAGAGCATTCTGTTATTGTCCACACTTAGTTTCCCAGGTTCTGTGCAAAGAATATAAAAGATAAACCACTGTACAAGTCTGAGTTTCATAGCCAAGCTACAGGAGTCTGTAGGTGCTGATTATTCAACTAACAGTGAAAATTTACTATATGTTCTACTCTGGACTGAGTGTTTCCTGAGACATAAAGATGAAATAGACATGACAAGTGCCTGTGCCCAAAGAGCTTATTTTTGAGTGGGGGAAATATATACATATATGTATACATATACACATTAGGGGGCATCTAATTGAGTTCATGAAACATTTTTGGGGGAAAGTTTTCTTGCACTTCATGAAGTAAGAAACATAATAAATAGAAATCAATGAGAAGTCTTACTGAGGGATAAAGCATACATCTTGTATTAATATCTTTCAATATATCAGGACAAAAATTATTATCATGAACCCTCTAAATAAAGTTATCATGATGTTACACTATTACATAATAGTGAACATGTACATATACAGAAAAATATATCAGAAAGGTACAAACAAAAAAAATGGGAACCAGGTTGTGTGTGTGTGTATGTGGGTGGGGGGAGCTGGTCTCATGTTTGTTGCACAATCTATCCATCTATTTCTGAACACATTTCATACTTAAAACAGAGGGTATTCCATAGATGGTAATAAAGAAAAACGGCAGCTAACATCTTAACCACAGGTAGATTAATGGAGTTTTGTCTACTATACTTTAAATTTAAAGGCTATTCCCAGTATGACCATTCCCAAACGGCCATTTCCATTTTAGGCTGAAAACAAGTTGGACTGGCTTTTAAGAAGGATGGCTTGCTGCTTTCATTTTTCAAAAAAAAAAAAAAAAAAAAAAAATCCAACTCTTTTGGAACTCTAATGTAAAACATTACTCACAGCCATTACAATTATTTCAGGAACTGTCATTCAAGGGCTACTTGAATGAATAGTTAAGGATAAAAAGAAATGCAGTTTTCTTACAAATACTGAGTGCTCAAAGGAAGCATGTCATCTAGCAGTAATATTGCTCATCGTCACTTGAATCACAATAGATTTCCTTTCTGGAAATTGGAATGAGAATGGAATGGACCTATACGTTATACCTGGAAAATGAGCAGAGTTTAAACCTGTGTTGTCCAATTGGTACCACTAACCACAGGTAGCTATGGAGCAGTGGAAATGTGGCTAGTCCTAATGGAAATGGATGTAAGTGCAGAATACAATTTTAAAGATTTAGTAGGGCAAAAAGTGTAAAATATCTCACTAAAAATGTGAATATTATTATTCTTGAAATATTAATTCATATCATGTTAAAATGATAATTTTGAATAGACACTGAGTTTAAAAACTATATTATTAAAATTAATACTACTTCTTTTTACCTTTTTCCAATGTGATCAACTTAAAAATTGTATATGCAGTTTGTATTTGAGGCTTGTATTATATTTCTGCTTCTCTCGAGCATTGGTTTGAACTATAAAAGTATTTAATTATTAGAAGACATCATGAACCAAAAGCCTTTAAAAGCAAGGAAGGAGTACTATCAGTATTAAAGCAAGTCAACATACAGCAAGACTTCAAAATGGAGACTCCACTCCATTGCATATGCAGTTAAAATGCACCAGAGAACTCTGCCAAGCTGGAGCGGTATTTGGCGGGTGGAGAGACTAGAAGCAAGCTCTGGCTCAGGCCAGAGTGGCTTTTGGAGGGTCCAGGAGATCAAGTTCTTGTGTGTAACATGGCACAGCCAGTCTCTGTACTGTCTGTATGGTAAGCTAGTGGTTAGAGGCTGACTCTAGGGACCAACTAAAGGAGTTCTTTCCCACCCACCAGCTTCCAACATTCTCTTAAAAGCAAGTCAGGCATAGAGCTCCTTCACTCAGTTCTCTGCAAGCCTGTCCCATCTCATTCAAAATAAGAGCCGACATCCTTACAATGGCCCCAGCCCCACATGATCTGACTCCTACTGCTCCTCTGACCTCCCTTCTGCTGCCCCCTCACATACTCCAGCCACACTGAACCCCGTCCCCACCTTGCTCCAGTGTGGAAAGTAGCCGCCTGCCCAGGGCCTTTGCACCTGGGCGTTCT